TGTTAGACTTCGCATAGTGCGGTCAATTTGGGGTAGACATGACATACCTGTTCTTGACTCATGCTACCATGAAGCTCAGCAGCTTTCAATCCAATGAGTCCAAAGACAATCCGTACACGATGTGCTTCTTTTTTCTGCCGGAAGAACACAATGACCCGTCCCGTGTAAACCTCCTTGCATAGATGAAGAAGGTATCCCAATCGTTTATCCTCCCTTCCAGGCCGTAAACGCACGAATTCCTGAACCAGGTTCATGGAGGTGTTCTTCTTAGAGTCAACCATCAGCCGTACAGGCCGGTTAAGCCCCACTCGAATAAGCTTGTCGACTGAATCGGTCATGGTTGCTGAAAAGAGCATCGTCTGCCGTGACTTCGGGATGGTAGTCAAAATTTCGTTCAGCTCATCTGCAAAACCATCCTCCAACATCCGATCGGCTTCATCCAAGACCAAAATCTCGAGTGTATCAACGGTGAAGCTCGCCGAGTTACGCATGTGGTCAATGAAGCGACCAGGCGTGGCAATGATAACATCGGGGCGCTTCTTCAGGATATTCTCTTGTTCGCGGAGACTGAAACCACCAACAAGTTGGCAGAAAGTGATATCAGTATAAGTAGCCAGTTTGGTAGCCACATTGTAGCACTGTACAGCCAGTTCACGAGTAGGCATCAGGATCGCAACACGGCTAGTAGGGACCTTTCGGGGGCGGAACAGAAGACGCTCGAGGATGGGAACAACGAAGGCAGCCGTCTTTCCTGAACCGGTCACCGCACTACCAACAATATCCTTGCCGAGAAGTGCTACGGGGATTGTCTTGCGCTGAATGGGAGTCGGGTTTGTGAAGTTGACCGCAGCCAATCCACGCAGAATGGGCCGGGACAGGTTAAATTCCTGGAATGACCTCTTAGACAGCTCAGCTGCAGATTGTTCGCTGGTCTGCTCCTCAGGTGCGAAGAAGGCCTTGCGCTTTGCTTCTTCTTCCGCATCAACCTCACTCTCGGCATCTGAGCCATCGTTGTCTGAAGCAACATCATCGGGATGTTGGACGGGGGTTGCGACAGAGTCGTTGTCAGAGGCGGCATCATCATCTTCATCATCGCTGTTCTCATCATCGCTGCCTGCATGCTCATCTTCACTGGCTGACTCTTGAGCATCAGACTGGCCGCTCTCATCCTCGCCGTCAGCACCCATGCCGAACGCATCTTCAGCCATCAATTCATCGTCCTGGAAATCCACAGACATGCCCCCATCCGAGGCATTACTCTCGTTTTCACTACCCTCATCTTCACTCTCAACCTTCTGTTTCTTCTGCTTCTTTTTCGATTGGGCCTCTTTCTTCGCTTGTCTTCTCGATATGATCTCGTCAATGTCCACTCCTTGTTTATCGCCATTCTTCTTTGTACCGTCTTTCGTATCATCCAATCCCCATCCATCGAACCCTTCAACCACGTCCTTCTGAGCTGCAGCGCCGACGTCAAACTCGAAATCCGAATTCAGTGCCCCATCATCCTCCCCAGTATCGTCTTCCTCCTCTGGCTCTTCCTCCGATTCAGATACAGCCTCTTCACCTGTCTTCTTCTGTTGTTTCCCGTTTTTCAATGGCTTCTGTTTCTTGCTCTTGCTTTGTGTTGTCTCCGCCGTGTCCCTCTTGCGCTTCTTGATGGTTGAATTCGCCGTTTCTTTGTCTACATGGTTGTCTCCGTCCTCATTGATGTCTTTAAATGCATCGTTCTCATCATCGGAAAGTGTAAGCACGAAATCGTCGTCTTTGGGAGCACTGCGCTTTTTTGGCGGTGCCATTTTTTCGGTTTATAAAGTATAAAACCTGGCAAGTAAGTAGATTAGGTGGTCGCTTCTCAATAAAAATTGGATAAACACAAATAAATAAGAAAAACTTTTATTGAAGGGCTCCTATTGTCCTCTCAGACCCTTAAGCTGCACTTACTAGTTCTTGTCCTTTCGGGGAAAAGAAAAAAAAGTTCAAAATTGCGGAGGCGGTGAAAGAATACACTCCGGCAAAAAAGACTGCGGACTTGTTTTGGGGATATATTGATTCTATGATGGTTCTTATCCTCTGCTTGAACTAATCTGTAATGGGACTAACGTCAAGTAGCCCTGAGGCCGGGGCCGTGGACCAGGTACTACGAAGTAGTAGTTTCTGCTATCTTTCATTTTTCCCCCATTTCCCCATTTCTTCTTTCTTCTCTTTTTGAATTTTCTTGAGGTGTTTGACGAAGCAGGGTTTTCGCCATCGAAGTACTTCTCAAGAAGAACACGATATGGAAAACATAACAAAAAGACATAAAGGTCATGTACCCCATATTGCGACCAATTTAAGGAAAAAAAAAAGCCATATGGATCTGCTAAATATAATGGTAGCAGTTATTTTTTATTTGTTTTCTTACTCATTTTTGGTTTAATCAGCCAAACCATTCGGACTAGTATTTCCCCAATCGATGTGGACATACACTCCAGTTCAATTTAGGAATCGAACCTATCGCCGGCGTGGTGACCGACGTTTCGAACAAGGTATGTGACATTGAGACTAGTGGTAGTCAGTGGATCTGCTTTACGGCAATGCTTGCTTGATCCGTGAGGGGGGGCTTACAAATGGCTAAATTTCACTCTTGCACCCTTGAGTCGACCCTGTTCTTCAAAGTCGTACTGCCTTCTGAGCCATTCTTCAACCCAGCTGTAGGTAGATCTTTTGTCAGATGGGTAGCTGATGGCAAAAAGAAGGCGACCAAGTCTGCGTTGACCTCCTGACCAGTAGCCGGTACGGTCTTCAGTATTGCAATCGAAGAAATACCCACGCTTCGGAATGTAGGTAGGGTCGCACACTTCGAGAAGCTTATCCATTAGGCACTTTCCAATACCCTTGTGGGTGTGTCCAGGTTTGACAAACAGCTCCAGCTCCGCTGTAAAACGGCCACTAGTTCTGCGTCCTATGTAGTCGGTCGCCAGTGCATAGCCCAGAATCTTTTGAGGACTATTATTCGCCGTTGCTCTGATTCTGCGCTCCGCGGCAACAATAAAAGGCAGTTTTTCCTCGGTACAGTCATCGATACACTGGCGAATATCACCAGCTTCAAGTGGTTCGATATAAGTACTCAAAGGAGAATTGTGTGCATACCAGTTGAATATTTCAAGGAGTCCTGGGACATCACCCATTTCAACAGGACGCAGGTAGACGTTCTCTTGAAGCACACTGGCGCTGGGCTGTGGGAAATTCCTCAAGCCTTCAAGATAATGCTCGCGTGTAATTTTCCTTCGAAGTTGCTCTTCATCACGCTCCTTTTTATTGTGAAGCTCCCAGTTGTGGCAATAACCTAGGACGGTTTCATGGCAATGGAGCAGCGACTCTTTGTCATCCATGTCTAGGAGAGTCGTTTGTTCCTCTAAGTCTGGAATATACATGGTGCGTATGCCATCTGGATGCGCCGTCCCATCAAAGAAAGCATAGTGGTAGATATCGGCATAGCAGCAAATTTGAATGGTGCCGTCGAGCCAACGACGGAACCAATCGCGAAAAGCCTCGTAACTGGAGGAGCAGGCATGCGGATAATACTCCCAATTTGCATAATAAATATCTGTCCAGCTATGTTTCCGCTCCTGCTCAGACTCTGTATTCTGGCCTCCAGTGCCACCCTGAAGCCCAGCAGTTTGTGCAAGCTGTGATAATATACGTTTGTGTTCATCAGTTGGCTCAGATGACAAGTTCAGCTCCCTATCCTTAACAATGGGATAGACAGTAGGACTGCTCTCATAGTCTCCCCACTGGGCAGCTACTTCATCGGCCCCCGATACGCTGGGTTTAATAGTTTCATGAATACTACCAGACGTTAAGCCCGTTATACAGCGGACACCTGCCGATTGTATTGGAGCAACACGACACTTCTTAATCGATAGGTAAAACTCCGAATTTGGGTCGGTTCCAGGACCAGATCTGCATCTTTCGAGAATCTCAGGGTTGGCTGTAGGGTAGTCAAGGTCCTTAAAACGATCCAGATGTGCCTGCCGGACTATCTGTGCCCGAAGGCGGCTAAGCTCCTCCAACGCTTCTTCTTTTGAGCTAGTTGGACTCGCTTCTTGGAGAGGCTCGTTGCCAGTGGGGAAATTTTTTCGACTCGCTGGGGTGACTTTCTGTCTAATATTCTGTTGAACGCTGCTTGTTACCTTACCACCTGCGTGTCTGATCTGCGAAGGGCTCAGAATGGACGGGAGAGTCTCGTGAATATTTTCCTTTTGGGGTACTGGAGTGATTTCAGCATCAGTACTGCTCGTATTGCCTCCACGATGAAGAACGACTACATCAGACTCCTCACTGGTAGTCATTTTGACGGCAGCTACGTTTTTGCCTGAGCGTGTATTAGCCTAAAAACCATTACTGACTCTAGATTGAGGATCTCTTACCAACTGCATTCGCGCTTGGTATTCCGCTTGGGCGCGGTGTTTTGGGTGGTATGCTGTTGGCCTTCTGATTCACTGTAGATATCGTTGACTTGGATATGGGCTGGACAGATTCTGGGAAAGGGTGATTGACAGAAGGTTGCAAATGTTCAGTATTGTCATGAGATGACTTGATCTGTGCTGTTGAAAGCTCTCTATGTAGTAGTGATCGCCTCTCCCTGATATGAGGTGCAATATAAAGAATAGGTGAAGGCCTCCAATTCTTTGGACAGTCTTTAGTATTAGACTTCGGTGTCATACTCTGGTTATCTGCATTCTCTTGTGAAGTATGATGTTTATGAGCTGGACCACTCCGATTCACATCTGGAGCTGTAGTGAAATCTTTCAACTTTGTAGATGATGAATGAGACCAAGTAATCTTGTGTTGTCGCTTGTAAGAAATATGCTTTGAAGCAGGTAGCAAATGATCTGGGCCTTTCGTTGGGGTGGACGCTATCTTATGTTGACAGGTGCCTGTAGGTGTACCAGTGACTTTGGTGCATAAAGTAGATTTGTGGCTCTCCAAATTTTGGGACTGTTGGGGATCTGTATTCTTTGTGGATGTTTCGTATCTGGAGGTAGGATAACTGGTACGATGACACTTCCGGTCCATGATTTGTTTGCTAGAGTATCGATTATGGTTAACAAGACTCTGTGCGATGAAAATTAGTATTATAATTGAGTATTGTTTCCTTTGAAATTTAGCTTCAGTAGAGTAATGCGCCTCTAAGAACCAATGCTTTTTACCTTTGTCAGAAATGTATGGAAGCTCTATCTGCAAAAATGTTTGGCCATAGTTATATGACTATATGATTGGTGGACAGGAAATGATGAATACAAGTACTAGTACTAGTGGTACAGTAGAAGCTTTGTTGCAATGAATCAATAGCAATTGATTGTGGTCAAGGGGAGAGATCAAAGAAATTCACTCAATGCCAGGTGTTCAGTCAGAGAGGACCTTAAATACTGTACCTGGTAGGAGAACCTCTTGTGAAGGAAACACCTCAGAAGGAAATTTCCCCATAGTCCGGTCTCCTACTAGGCGCTATTCTTTTTTAAAGATCATATTTTCAATGGGAGTATGAACACTACTCTAGGAAACTAATTATAAAAGACTAAAAATTTAAGAAAGATACATTTCTAAAAGCCCAAGTCAGGTAGTCTATGAAGACCTGAATTGTCTTGTTAGTGATTTACCATTCTTCCTCTCTGGTCTTGAGTGGTTTGGAAGTGATTTAATCTCCACCGTCTCGTAGCCGAAACCCCAACTATGACTTTGAACCCAACCACCTGCACCTCTGCTTACCCCTAAGACAATCAGCCCGCCAACGCCATAATGCTGTCTATATTGAGAAAAGCCCGGCTAAAAGACAAGGAAATGAGAATATTGATGCTGTATGTTAAAGAAGTAGTGTTTGTTGGTCAACATACTGAGCCCCAACCACAGCGGCCTTGATAATGCCGGAAAGACCACGATTGTCAAGCAGATTATGAAGGAGGATGTCACCACTGTTAGCCCAACGCTGGGTTTTATCATCAAAACTATTGATTTTCAAGGGTATTTGGCCCTTATACTCCAAACGTGAGTCTAGTAAATTGCTGATAGCTTCTCTGCAGATACAAACTCAACATTTGTAAGCACCGTCATCACGTTACCACGGATCTAATCCACTTACTTATGAGGACTAGGGGATGTAGGAGGGCAGAAGACATTACGCTCATACTGGAAAAATTACTTTGAGAAGACCGATACTTTAGTCTGGGTTGTTGATGCAACAGATCGTTTGAGAATCGATGATTGCCGGGATGAACTTGCCGGCCTTCTTCTCGAAGAGGTACGCTGCAAACTGTTCCAGTTCCGCCTTTGAAATTTTAGTTTTGTTGGTTTGTTTGACTAACTTACGGTTCAGCGACTGACGGGGGCAAGTCTTTTGATATTCTTGAATAAAACTGACGTTGAAGGCTGCATGACAGAGGATGAAGTCCATGAGGTGAGGTTCTTTTCCTTCTTATCTTTCGTTTTCGTCAAGTTCAACTCCCAGCGATGACTCCTTTACTCCTTAAAATAATAGCTTCGCGCTCCGCTATCATACCTCGCGAATAATTCTAACACTCTCTTCAGCGGCTTGAACTTGATTCGATCAAGACCCATAAATGGACGATATTACCTTGCAGTGCTATGACGGGGGAAAATCTCCATGATGGTCTGGAATGGGTCGTACAGGATGCAAAGGATAGACTTTTTCTTTATTGAAAACGATAGTTAATAAGTTAATGCCAAATAATAATGGGCGCACACTGGTTGACCTGCGCGCTGTCTCCTTCCCTATTTAATCCACTTGCACAGTCTAAAGAAATAAGATGAATGTTTAATTATAAGAGCTTAGTAGTATAGCTGGTATACTATAATGCTTCTGGCTTGAACTATTGTATCTAAGTAGTAACTGAAGTTATGGTCCACGGTATATTGTGGCCGGATAAGTTGTCTACTGCTATTTGCTAGTTCTACTACTCCTCTTCCTGTTCATCCCATTACTTTCTATTCTCTTCTTTCAATTCATCTCTTTGCCTTTTGCTTTTTGCATTTTATATCTAAACATGTGCAACGGGTTGCTTCAGATATGTTCTGATGGTACGATCTGATCTTAGAGAGTCAATATGTCGCAAGGTTCATCGATAGGGGCTTATTTCCACCAAAATAGAGAGTATCCAGGATGACGAATCTCGTCATTAGGTGCGGTGTCTCATATCTTCCAATGTGTTGTTCGCTGTCATCTTTCCACTCCTAGGTCGAGAAGATTGTCTCAAACTCATCCATGGATCTCTGCCGAGTTGTGACCTCGAAGTTTCATTGACAATAGTCTAATGCGAAACCACCTAATCGAGAATTAAGAGCTATGTAGGTATATATTTCACCATAACAAACCTAATCGACTTAGTTGGTAACCATAATTTATCCATCTTGTTCGTTATGTTTCCGATCGCGGGGCGGTAAAACCCGATTAAATTGGCTCCACCGTCAGTCATACTGTGGAAGAGCCGACGCCCGGAAAGGGTTTTTTGTTGTTTTGGTTGGGTTTGGTAAGGAAACGTAAACAATCTACCGGGTTGAGGAACAACAAAACATTGTCTATTTCCCGTAGAATAACGTCCTTCAAGATTCGCGGTTGTGTCTACTTCTAGGTATTTGTAGTCAAGTTAATTCTATCTCTCAAAAAATGCTACAGCCATTAAAATTAACCCTTACTGCAGATTTACACTTTGCGTGTGTTTGGACAGGACTTGACAGAGTCTTCTGTGCCTAGGAAAAGAAAATACTAGTGTGACCAACGAATGCCTTGCGGTCGGGCGCCTCTTTTCAGCAAGGATGTACTTGTCCTAGTGGGGCTGCCGTGTGATGTGCGTCCGTCTTTTGGGCTTGTTGTTGCCTTTCCGATGATTTCTGCTGAACGCTGGCCGCTGATTAGGTGTTCGAAATGGTCATTACCTTTACCACTAATCTACTACCTAACCCAACTAACTACCTCCCTCAGCTGGTACCCATCGCTGACAATTATTGCCATCGGGCAGTTTGAAGGGTAAATAAAAAAAGCCGAGGAAACCGATCCTCCTGATGTCTTCACCACCGCTTCGGTGAGGCTCAGAACAAAATTGCCAGACAGAGGAAAAAGGGTGAGGACGACGAGAGAAGCGAGGTTTGATTAATATCAATCACACTTTATTCTGTCGTGCCGTGGAACTGAACTCCGGGCTACACTTATTTTTCCTTCTGGGTTTATTTATTAAATTATCATTAGCTCATCTGACTGGTTGGTTAATTATATGCCCAATAATTATTGACCTTCTCCTTACCAACATCCACACCCCTCCGTTGGTGCGCCTCTCGCCAAACCCCACAGTTCTCGTCTGCCGTTTGTTTCTTTGGGAGGCGTTTTTTGTTTTTCCCTTTCCTTTCCTTGTCCTCTCCTATTCCGACTTGTGACATATCATCTGCCAAGGGGACCATGTCTTCCTCAGCCGACGCCGAGGGTTCAGAGGATGTCAATGACTTCCTGCTTCGTATCCGGGAGCTCGGAGAGAAGCGCGACAAGGAAGACGAAGAACGTACTAGGAAACTAGAGGAGGAGATTTTGCAAGGCCGGAAGGAGAGGCAGGCTCGAAGAGCTGGTATATCTGGATTCCCTTGTTACTTCCCCCCAAACCATACGTGACCCATGACTCACAGAAGACTGGGCCTTTCGAAGATATACAGAGTCAAAAGCTGATTTTGTCCTCTTTGCGAAACCAATGTAGAGCGGGCACGGTCGATATCGCCAACGAAAGACTCTCCATCTATACTAGATAATGCTCGACTGAGCACCTCGTCGTTCAGCCTACGAGCCATCGATCCTCCTGAACATCTTGAGCCAACCCCCCGAACTCCAGACCGTGATATCAGCAGCAAATCGGAAGCCATTCGGGACGACGAATCCGTAACTACCAATGGTAGTCGAAGAGGATCTAGAGTGGATATAAACGAGTTAGAATCATCGCCCAAGGCCCCTTCGGTTTCGCTTCGAAGCCGAGCGGGGACGTTGTCCTGGCAGCAACGGCCGTCATCGCGAGAACTCAATAGACCCTTCTTCTCTACTTCTCCCGTTCGGGAAAATCGCTTGAGAGCCATGTCGAGTACCTCGACCGACGACCGTGGATTATCTGGTAGCCCAACATTGCGCTCTCCTCCCACAAGGGAGGCCTCGTTATTGGACCAAGCAGAAAAAAGTGCTAGCTCCCCTATGCGGGCAACGACAGCCGAAGAAGAATACCAAGAGCTCTCTGCGCCGGGCAATGACTCTAAAGCGTCGGAAATAGAAATAGAAACTACGCATGAGGTGGAAAAGGAACCCAGTCAACCCGAAGCTGGAGAAATGCGATCACGTTCTCCATCAAGGGCAAGCTCCACTTTCGCAGAAAGTAGCCTCGGCCATCGATATTCAAGTATTTCTTCCGTTTCAACAGCCACAGGACTAGGATCTCCCATACCTCTGTCAAGTGCACAAAAGTTCGAGCCCCGAAAGACTGAGACAGACTCAGAGGACCAAACGACGACTCCCCTATCGCCCAGACGTCTCTCTCCGGAACGTTCAAATTCGCCGACTAAGGGACTTGGAGGGTTTGTGCAAAGCGCCATGATGAAACGATCTGATAGTGTTTCAAAACGTTGGAGTGCTCAACTTCCATCTGGCTTGAGCCGCGGCCACTCATTCGCAGGGAATAGAAATAGTTTCGCTGCGCCGAGTAAAAATGACCTATTATCTTCACCTCGACTTGCCCCCGACAGCTCGACTTTAACAACACATCGGCCAGGTTCTAGCCATAGACCAAGCTCTAGCCACAGCGAGGCAACGATTGTCAAGGAGAGTGAACGCCCGGCTACTCCATCAGTTTCTAGCGGCAATGGCGCCACGCGACCCGATGGGAGCCCCGGAAGGCCACAACTTGCGCTCCATACAAGATCTGCTAGCGCTGTGGAGAACAATGATGCTAGCTCACTACCTCCGAATAGCCCTGTAGTATCTAGGACTATGGACCCCAAGCGTTGGAGTCCAACCAAATCCACATGGCTGGAGAGTGCTCTGAACCGTCCCGATTCACCGAGGCATAAGAAGCAACCCTCGCAATCAACAACGTGGAGCAGAGAACGGCAGTCAAGGGGCAGTGTTGATATGGGCAGGTCGAATACCTTTAAAGAAGTTACTCCTGTGGGATTGATGCGTACCGCCGCTCCTGGCAGCCACTCAAAAACATCGAGTGTTTCTGGAATGCCAGATTTGTTCGGCACACCCGACACGACAAACACAGCAAAGGAGACTGCAGTGGAAACCACCGCACCTGACGCTGAGGGTAATAGTGTACCGTCTGTGGACAAATGCTCTACAGATCATTCAAAGGCAACGGAGACCGTGCCAGAGAGTACTGACGAGACCACCGAGCCAACCACCACTAGACGCAAGCGTGCCCCAACATTATTGACGCCAATCTCGAACGCGAGTTTGGATTCACCTATCTCGCCTACTAGGATTTCACCCACTAGAGACCCCCTGTTAAACCGACCGAAACCCCAGTCCCCTGTGATAGATTTCCGTGCCAATCTCCGGAAGCGAGAAGTTGTTAAGGATCAAGGACCCAAGGAAGAGCCAGAGTTCAAAAATGTTTTTGGAAAGCTGAAGAAAACAGAATCATCGAATTATGTCCCACCTGACGAGCTCAAAGATAATATACTGAGAGGGAAAGCAGCATTAAATACTACAGGGGGTCCGAAGAAAAACCAGAAAGTTGATGAACTGAAAGAGAGTATTCTGAAACAGCGAGAGGCAATCAAATCCAGCGGAGGCTCGTTACGGCGCAATACTGCTGGGGAAAACGATGCTTCTATGAAGATCGTTCCTGAAGCCATTGCGAAACGGCATAACCTGACCAAGTCCAGCAGTGCCAAAAGCAACGTGTCTGATACGCTTGCCTCCCTTTCTCCTAGGGAGCCCGGAACACCACAGCTTTCACCACAACTTCCTTCAGAGCTTGAGCGTGTCGACCGTTCTCCTAGCCCACAACTTGCCGCGAAAGAACATAATCCCGATGTACCTGATACCCAGGAACAAGCCCCTGAACCCGTTCATCCTATCAGCGAACAAAATAGTAAAATTGAGTCGAGTAAATCGAAGGATCAGTTGGAGAATGAGGTAATTGAAGAGCAGAAGAAATCAAGTGAAGAGGCCATCCAACCGGTGCGTGCTTTGCCATCGGGGAATATCGTGCAGGCCACAAATCCGCCTGCTTCAGCTGAAGGTCTTGCTACTAAAGGTAAACTCGCAGGCCGAATAAACCCTGCCTTGGCAGGCCTTTTGTCGCGCGGTCCTCCCGCGGCACTGAATGGGTCGAACAACGCGTTGCCCGTGAATGACAATGTGCCGTCGGCCCCGAGTCCTGCTGCTGCGCTTACGCATATGACGAAAAACCGCGCCAAGGGCCCGAAAAGACGTCTTCCCAAATCCGTGGCTCCAGAATTCGTGGATTACCCATCGAAGGAAGCGACAGAATCTTATGAAGTCCATGACTTTCCTGATCTGAGCGATCCTGACCCTTTAGATTTCACATCAGAGGAGTCAACGCCTCGAGAGAACTTACCGTATTCTGAGAGAGAAGAGAAGAATGTCTCCGTAAAGGAAATTAGACCAAGGGAAGAACCTGCTACCCTGGATGTCTCTCCCTCTTCAAACGAGGAAACAGGAGCCGACATAAAATATTCTGTGCCCGAAACAGAGACTGTTAGCCAGGGAGTCTCACCATCTCTTAGTGTTGAGGTAGACGTCTCCAATGACCCCGCACGGAAGGAAGAGCCTAGCCTTGAAGAGACTCTACAATTCTCCGATGCCATGGAAGACCAACTTCCTACAGTGGACTCTGCACCGAAGGAAAAGCCTGGTTTCCAAGAGACTTCACAGTTCTCCGCTAGCATAAAAGAAGAGCTACCTACCGTGGACTCCGCACCAAAAGAAGAAGAGATCATATCTCTAGAACCTGCACTACCCCTAAATAATGAGGAAACAATTTCTAAGAATTGTACATCGAAACGAGATACTATCTCCTCCAGGCTAACAATGTCCTCTGACACCGAGGAGTCCGAGACTATGAATCCTGCTTCCAAGGAAGATACCGGTGTCCAGCAGATCCCATCATCCTCAGAGATTGCGGGGCCTGAACCCATTGGGTCGTTGGAAAGTGAGAATACTGGCTCCCTGAAGAGTCTGCCGCCTTCAACTATCGTGCTCGAAGAAGGGACTGAATCACGGGGAAACACAGCTTCACCTGATATTAAGGAACCTAAGGCAAGCCCATTATCTACTCGAAGCTGCGCAGGCAATTCTAGCGGCTGGCCGCTCCCTGATGGTGATATTCCCGCGCCTGCCGCTTTGGAGACAGGTTTGACTCAGCCTTCACCAACTACGGGCAAGCCAACCGAGTTCAAGAGGAGTATTCATCACATGGCCGAGAGAGACTCGCAACAGAATTTTGGTGCACTCCAGTCAAAGTCAGCTACAGAATTCGAGAAACTCACGCAGAAATTCGAGAAAGCTCATGAGGATGTGGAAAACCGGCGCGATTCATTTAAACCGGTTCCTCCGCCGAAAGCAGCCCCATTCACACCTACCCCTGAGTTTAGGCAATCCAGAAGCTCACCAATACATTTTTCGTCCCCGTCTCCGTCTCCTCTCAGGTCCAGCTTCAAACAAAACCAAATATATCCTTCTCCGACTGCTTATCGAAGGACAGCCCCGGGTATGTCACCATCTTCACCCAGGGACAAGTCTTTACCATCCCCTCCCGTTCCTCCTAAGTCCAGCCCCTCTGTGGACCAAGTTTCTTCACGAAGATCTTCAGCATCGTTGGTGCCCCAAGCCGACGAGTCTCTTGAAGCCATTTCTGGCTTCTTCAAGACATTCCCCAATTCAAGGGATTCCATGAATATTGATGCTCAGTTAATGCTGACGAGCAAGAATGAGAACCAGAAAATCAGGACCCTGAGGATGCAGATGTGGGAGATAACAGGTGATGGCAAGAAACAAGATCTCCCTGTCAATCAGGAATACATCCTCTACGAAGGCAGCATGTATCTCTGCGTGCATATGTTCGAAGCTGACGCTGGTGCACGGTCAGAGGCTCATCTTTGGTGTGGTGATGATGTTCCCGACGCAGCAATAGACGACGCGCAGTCTTTTTCGAAGAAGGTGGCCAAGGAGAATGGTTGCAAATTGGAAGTCATTAAGCAGGGAAAAGAGACCGCGCGTTTTATCCAAGCCCTCGGTGGAATTCTCATAACTCGTAGAGGTCTCAGTTCTCGTTCTAGTTCCTCTGCTTTTTTCATGCTTTGCGGCAGAAAGCATCTAGGCCAAATGGTCTTTGACGAAGTGAACTTCTCCCGCCAGAGTCTGTGCCCCGGCTATCCGTTCGTAATTTCTGCCATGTTTGGCAAGGTATATTTGTGGAAGGGCAAAGGCAGTGCAGCTGAAGAGGTCGGAGCCGCTCGGTTGATTGGCATGGACCTTGGCTTAACCGGCGAGTTCGAAGAGGTTGCTGAAGGAGAAGAGCCAGAGAGCTTTTTTGAATGTTTCCCACAGTATGGGGAATCTGGAGATTACATGCGCCCAGATTATTGGCGGTTAAAGCCTAACCATGCATGTTATCGCCCGAGACTACTTCGTATTGACCATGAGCTCGGTCAGCAACGGCCAGCAGGGTTCTGGCTGCGTCGGCCAGGTTCCGCGTCTCCGGTGATTCGACCGAACGACACTGTTCAAGAGATCGAGCCTTTCTACCAGAAGGACATCAAGGCCAATGGTATTTATGTCTTAGATACCTTCTTCGAGATCTATGTGTAAGTGTCTGTCAACAGAATACGTTCAGGCTGAACTCCTTTGGCTAACCATATACTCTAGGATTGTCGGCGAACATGCGTCCAACCGACCGGCAGAATTCGTCTCGGCCGTGGTATTCGCACACGAATATGGCATTCTAGCTGCTTCGCTCCAAGACCGGCCATTCATTCCTAAGAGTTTTGTGTCCCTTGGCGGCGTTCCGGGTAGCTGTTGTACAGCATTCCGCAAGTGGGAGCAGCCTACCTTGCGGATGCCCCCACAGGTCTTTCCTTTGAACGCCGCCATCGAAGCTATCCGCTCCTAAATAATCTTTGTTTTATTCTCGGTTTATTTCTTGTTTTCTCTTCAAATTTCTTATTTCTTGTCTATAGATATTTGCATCTGGATTGTGCATATACTGGTGTCTGTACAGAGACGTCAACCGGCCAATGGATAGAACGGAAAGGTGGGCATGAGGAGCATAATCCAAGGAGCCTGCGGGGGGGTCAATTCGGGCAATTGTCTGTACGTTGTCGGTGGAGTTTGGGAGCCACATAAGGTACATAGTGGTGATTATTCTGCATATCCGGTTTTCTCTTCTGATGTATGATATTTTATGGCTCTAGCTACGTATCTAGATGACCATCGCACGATTGCATCCACCTAGATCTAAGTAGAAATGCATGACTTATTCTAGTGACTACCCAACTTACTTTACTATTTTCGCGTATAGATGAAATTGGAGATCATTATACACACAAGTTGCTTAATAGGACATTCCAGTAATGCAATTCAACAAGTCTTGGTTGGGAGTCCTTGAGTATTTCATAGCTAAGCATAAAATTAAAAAAAAGAAAAATGGTACAGCGCGACTTTCGAACTTTGCACAAAGTTATTAGCGGAGCGCGAAGCGCGAAGCGATTATAATTAAGGTTGCTGCATGCCACACATGCTTGTGCAGGAGATGGGGCTTATCACTATCGGGTACTGTGTACCGTACGGACTCAGTATGTACCAAGTCCTCCGAGGTACCTAGTACTCTGTACTCTGTCTCATTATCAGATTCCAGTACTGTGTATGGCCTGAGTCGAAATCTTCCGGCCCGACTCCAGCGACCCACTCCGATTCGTCATAGATCGTCACCGTTCCATCATCGCTTAGTTTATTTTGATTTTTGATTTTTCTTTATCGCAGTTTCTGTGAGAGGCGCATCTGATACCTGCGGAAGACATTCCCTTCGGCTTACCTTGACCACAATATGTCTTGATTGATATATACGAACAGTTACGTCATATTTTACATTCCAACATGGAGGCACTAGACCCCGCGATTCATCGCGAGCTCTCCCGGCTTGACCCCGCAGTGCCTTTCCGCGCATCAACCGAACATATCCATCATACATGGGCTAGGACGTTCTTCTCGCGGCCGGAGCTGTATATACAGCCGCAATCAATTAGGGAGGTCCAGAAACTAGTGACTCTAGCTCGTCGGTGTCGTCGTCGCTTGGTTACCGTTGGTAGTGGACATTCGCCTTCCGACTTGACGTGTACGTCGTCGTGGCTGGTCAACCTAGATAAATTTAACCGCGTGCTGGATGTCTCGCCTGAGACTGGTGATGTAACGGTTGAGGCAGGCATTCGGCTAAAGGACTTGGGAAAACGCCTGGAAAGACATGGATTGACTTTGTCTAATTTGGGGAGCATTGACGAGCAGTCCATCGCGGGTGTGATCTCGACAGGCACACATGGAAGTTCCCTGAGGCATGGATTGATTTCTGAATGCATTACATCGCTCAAGCTGGTGCTGGCCAACGGGCAATTGGTGCGCTGCAGCGCAACCAATAACCCATCGCTTTTCCGTGCTGCTCTTATTTCTCTTGGAGCGCTGGGTATTATCGTTGAGGTTACTTTCAAGGCGGAGGCATCCTTCAAGGTTGCGTGGCGACAGACTCGTCGTTCACTATCAAGTGTCTTGGCTGAGTGGTCAGCCGGCCTGTGGACCTCTCACGAGTTCATTCGCGTCTGGTGGATGCCATATGAGAAGTCTGCTATTGTTTGGCATGCGGATAAAACCGATTTACCCCTTCACGCACCACCAGCGACGTTCTATGGAGAGACAATCGGATATCATATTTATCATAACTTATTGGCGCTTGCCAATTATTTCCCCCGTATCCTCCCATGGGTTGAATGGTTCGTCTTTGGCCTGCAATATGGGTTTAGATCGGAGGCAAAAGTTACGGAAGCAGTGGAACCCGCTCGTGCTGGTCTTTTGATGAACTGTCTTTACTCGCAGTTCGTCAATGAGTGGGCGCTACCCCTGGAGAAAGGCCCAGAGGCTATAATACGCTTGTCGGCTTGGTTAAATGGAGACACCGAGACAGCACGTATTCCGTTCTCTGTTGAAGGATTGTGGGTACATTGCCCCATTGAGGTCAGGGTTGCGGATTCAACACATAACAAGAATCCTCGCCCGTTCCTTGACCCTAGTCATCATGACGGCCCAACATTGTATCTCAATGCGACTCTTTATCGACCCTATCTCCAGGATCCCCCTTGTAAGGACAGGTACTACGAGGCGTTCGAGTGGCTAATGCGTGAAATGGGTGCGAAACCACACTGGGCCAAGAACTTCCAAGTCACAGGACGCCATGAGCTGCAGGAGTTGTATGGGAAAGACATGAATGAATGGTTAAAAGTGCGTCAAGAGGTTGACCCCGATGGCATGTTCCTTGGCGAATGGCATCGTCGCAACCTTGCCTTACCAGGTGGGGAGAATGATGGAATAATGTCCACCGAGTCGAGGATTCTCCCGCTCCTAGAACGCGAGAAATCCCGTCGGAGGGCAAATTTCCGCGGGGCTGGCGACGGCTTGGAGTGGATCGGAGATAAGCAGCAGCGGGGGGATTCAGGGAATCATGTTAAACCCTTGTTGACGCAAGAGAAAAAGTATGATGGTTCGTCAGAGGGGATGAGCCCAACGACAGCCACCAGCGAAGAGAGTTTCGACCTTCTAGCGGCTGGCGAAGCCAGCACTTTCCTCCCAGATGAACGCTCATGATGGGTAAAACATGAATGGACGAATTCAGAGTAGCAAACAGAAAAAATAAAACAGGCTACCTCCTTCTGCTCTAAAAATCTTTGCGGTAACTGGGCGATCTTGCTTGCCAATCACTCGTATTGTTTCCCTCCGCCTACCTTTATCTTTTACCCCATCCGTATTTCCTTGGTCGGTCTCTCCGTTCTCATTAGCCGCCCATTGTTTGCTGGATCGGAGTTTTCACCCGAGAAAGAAACGACTTGCAATCTCCCCGGGTTTTGCCATTCATCTACAATATCTATCCTCGGGATAGCTGTTCCTCGTGTCAAGTATTTCCATGTCATGAGAACGTCTTTCCTTGTTATATTGGGCGTGCTATGCTCTATACCAAGAGGAACTAATGACTGGAGGTCGAAGACGGCAGGCGAAAAGAATCCCGATCCAGTCAGAGTGACATCAAGGCTGGGAAGCTCTCAGAAATCTGACACGAACCTAGTATCGAAAAGAGACTGTCATGCATTAGAAATTTGTCTGACATGACACTTTATTTGCGGCCATTGTTGGGAGGATTTCCAATACATACATACCGCTTAGGGCCATGTATATGCAAAAATATGCAGATGCTTCACATTTGGCTTTCTCATTAGCCATTCTGAGAGGCCAAATTCAGTATGTGTTCTGTTGACCCTCACCGAGCGTCGGCGCTGTCGGATACATTGGCATGTTAAGCCGAGTCACTGCGATATCCCCTTTTGGCAGAGGTCGCAGACAAGGATTACAGTCATAGCACCATTTCCTCTTGTCACGACTGAGTGATGGACATACGCATGGGGACTCTGTGTAATCGTATTACGTCAGGCTAAGTCCTGACATGCAGGCGACGCCAGGATGCTGTTCTTGTGAAAGTGAGAGAGATAGTTGCTGTTTCCACTGAACATCAAGGATACATCCTCTGTGCTTGTATTATTGTGGTAGTCAACCTATGGATCAGCAGACTGCAATAGGTGTATATCAGTAACGTTGCTGGCAGAGAATCGAGTGTCTGTGATGACGCTGTTGTCAGTGTTGTTCATTGCGGGGCACATATGAGATTTATCACGTTCATTGGCTCCTGTCCCTCGCCGCGGCCACCACAACCCTTCTTACTAAGGTACTCTCTTTTTTCCATTCCCACTACCCGCTCTCAAATGTCTTCACCAACATCCCTGGGTCCTATAATACGACTAGTTCATAATGAGGAGATGAGGTGTAAACCAACTACAGAGACAACTGAAATGCACCCAATACGAGGAGTGATAATTGCTAATATGTTAGCATTGAACTGCGCCGCATGGTACCCAAAGAGGAACTATACTAGTAACTTGTCCAAGTTTCCTGAGCCCGTTTCGTTGGGACGTATCGATTTCAGTCACCTCTCCGAATAATTCAAATCTGTTATGACGGTGATCCCAACTTCAAACCCCTCTTCCGCTGAGCCTGGATGTGAGTGGACGGACCTTTCCTGCAGCTTGGACTTGTCTTGCAGTCGGAGGTTCCTCAGCCGCTAAGCAGGTTAAAGAAAGAGGGGCAGCCGTCACTCACTGTACCTGTCCTAGTTTCTAGCCTTCGTGCTAAAGAGGGGACCGAAGGGTAAGGGCATGAATCCTTGCTTTGAAATTTGTCTTGAGGGACAAAGCCACTGCCCGGGGTTTTTATTATTCTTTTTTACTTTTATACCTTCTCCACTGTTTGTGAATAATCTGTGCAGATCCAGAAAACAATAATGACATGGGCAGGCCCATGTCATGTATTGCTTTTTCTTCGGCAGCCGAGGACTCGACAGACCATTCGCTACCCGGCAAGTATGTCCATGTATATACTAGGCCGTGCATAAACAAGAAAAGCTGTACGACCTCTGTGCGCGTCCTAAAGTCATTGGAAGAAGATGCTGGCTGAGGTTTCTTGATTCGTTTTAGCCTGGCTAGCACTCCCCGTTGCCGCTTCTTTGCCATCAGAGATTCATTGATTCACCAGTCGGCCTGTCAGGTGATAGTTTCAACCTTACACCAACAGGCCGTGTCTTCAACCTGAGCCTTTTTCTTTTTTGTCTAGCCACAAACAGTCGCGTCATACGCGGGATGTGACTCAAGTGCATAGACGATTGGACACAGCAATACATCACACCGCCACCTGAACGTTTCAGACAGGATTGTCTTTTGATGTATAATCGTTGTAAGGTATAGATTTACTTTGACCCGATATTGCCGCGCTGATCATACAACCACTCTGAGCAATCTCGCAGCCCTGGGATGGTAAATTGTACCGTACCGTACAATATGAGAACGAGTAAGAAAAAGAAAAACAAGACTAATGAAAAGTACCCCTTATTGGATCAGCAGGAGTCAATCCTCTTGGCAGAATAAGTGAGCCAGGATGAGCACGCGCCCGTCCGCTGCATATGATAGTCGAAGTGTGATGGAGGGTCAATGCGCCAATGACAGCTGTCAGAATAAACCGATAGGCGCCCAAGAGCCCATAAGCTGATGTTCACCGATTTTACTTGCGATATCGCAGTGATATCTACTGGCATGCATGATCCATTTTCTCGATGATGATGCAAGAACAAAAAGAAAAGAGAAGGAAAAGAAATCATTACTGCCTGCTGCATCTACTTGGGGCATTATGCATAGCTAGGGGGAAAGAATGAATGCTACAAGGACCGCGTGCCAGAGGATGTGATCTCTGATGCTTACTCTGCACTTCGCTGCCCAAGGGGCAAGGATTGTTCCCGGCTAGGCCGATCTAATGGACGATGTCATGGCCGTCGTTTTTCCGCGTTGACGGCTCGGACCGTCAAGCCTGACCGCTGGGATGCCATGGCCAGCGAAATGGTCACCTGTGTTGATCTGAACCAGGCCAAGCTCTCTGTGCTGACCGCGGGGACCCCGGTGTATCTACTAGGCTTCCACAGCCACAAATGACTGAGTGATGTCGAGCGACCGGACCGGTTGATATCGTGACAGACTGTAATCCACGTCACCAGCAACCTGTATACGGTGTACATCGAGGTGGGGAAGGACGAGTGTGCATTCAGGCGGGGCCCCTGCGACGCAGTTGTGATTTGTTTTTATTTTCCCTTTCTTATTTTTATTTTTATTTTTCAGTTCTGATAAACGTGTTTTCGACATGTGCTCGGACAAGAGCTCTCAGCCTCTCTTTTCCCTACCAATATCAGGCACCCCACCTGCTTGCTGCTCTTTAGAAATCTAAACCTTTACCCCTCCCCCTCCTTCCTGACTGACAGCCGATTAGTCACAGCTCCTTTTTATACCCAAGCTTTTTCAACCTGGTAGTCGCAGAAAATCACTCAATTGCCTTTCCTTCTCTGCTAGTATTCTTGTCGCACACTTGTGCTCTTTAAAAATGATGTCCCGCCAACCGAAGCTACGGCCAAAGTCACACATTCCCGGCTTCCCAGATTCCATGTACGATCTTGCGACAATGTCGTCTTTGTCGCAGCTGGAAGCTCGCACGTCGCTAGGAGAAGATAAGCACGACCAACGTGTCTTTCGCGTCAAGCGCAAGCATGTTCTCAAGGCCTGTGATCGCTGTAGAGTCAAGAAGACCAAGGTTGGTGAAGCAGTCAAAACTCCTATACCATTATCATGCATTTTCTTGTAGGATCCAACGGCCAGTTATGCTCATTCAGCTTAGTGTGACGGTAAACAGCCATGTAACCGCTGTTCCGCGTATAACCATCCATGTCTCTTTCGGGAGAGGAAGGCTACGCAGACAAAGGTCTATTCGCGAGGGTAAGAACATTCACATCTTGCTTAGGTTCTTCCAGCTCAGTGGCTTACGAAGGAAGCTAATCCTGGTGTGATGATTGAACAGGTTCGTTGAAATGCTCGAATCGCACCACTCCCTTGTTGTGAAAGCACTACAGCGGCTCTATAAGCTCTGCCTGAATAAAGATGGGTTTCCGGGAGAGCCCCTTACAGAGTCCTCTGATGGTTATCCTTTGACGCATGCAATCTTGGACCGCCTCGGACTGATAAAACAGGCCGAGGAGAATGCGGATGAACAAGATGAGGACTCGGAAGATCTTCAATATCTACGATATATGGCTTCTACTGATTGCAGCGCAACCACCGATCCATCTCCAGAGCCTGTTACTCCCCCGGAGCCCTCTCCAAGCAACTGCAGTCCCGTTAGCCCCTCCACTAAGGCCGGTGGTCCTTATAAATGGGAATACCAACCTGTGCAACCGGCTCATCATGAACAATATGCCGGCTACCAACACTCAGGGTTTCATAATGTGACGATGCCTCGGTCAGCGGTGGACTCAGCTGGTCTGGCAGCTGATAGCAAGTGTTCCGAAACGTTACCTCCAGTGTCTAACCCAGAGAACTCATATTACTATTATACGGGTACCGGTGGCAACGCCGAATCAACGAAAGGCCCTCTTCATCCTGGACTGACCGCAGGGCCGAGGACAAATCATTATTCTACCGGTATGCCTGCTGAAATTCTCAGTAACTACAGCCTTCACTTGCAGGATCAACAATCACTCTACCAAGGCCTTGCACCTAGCTGGGCGTCTTACCCATGTGGCTGAACTTCTTCTGACCCGTTCCTGGGGAAATTCCCTCCTGTATTCCCTTTCTTGATCATCTTTTCCTTGACTAGTATCTTTCTTCTATTTATATTCCCATTAACGAGGTCTTTCTACACGCGTAGGACGCGTTGGCACACCCATTTGGTTGCTTTTCTTCACCTTACCTCTCGTTTCACTATCATAAGTGCGTGACATATACCCCTCTCTTCATCTGAGCCATCCTCAGAACTCTTTTACTATCAATACCCAGCGTAGTAAACGCATGGTCCTTCTATGGGAGACAGAAGCCGACCCAAATCTGCCTGCCCAGCCTTGGGCAGGGTCGAGGCAGTGATTATGCCTCTTGTCTACTTTCATTGGCGATAGCTGTCTATCAATTCAGTACCTGAAGTGGTCATATCCCCAATTGATAACTTTTCCCCTACGCCTTCGACCATCTAGGGCTTATAGTTGCACATATATACCGGGGGCTTAGACCAATCGCGCCTTTCCCTTTCATCTTACTGCTCGGGTCTGGAATTCGCTCACTGAACTGACTTGAGCACGCCCTGAGCAGCATGAAGAATGAAAGAAGTCGATTACTAAGCCGGAGGAGCCAGAGGGTGAGTAACTCTGAGGTAGCCTCGAGGAAGCCGCACCAGTATGTCACCCAAGTTCACTATCCCTTGTAGTGCTATGGACCATCATCCATTTCTCTGCGAGAATTGATGGCTGTTGTTCTATAGAAAGGGATTAACAGCTACACATGGGTATGGGTAGTAACCAGAAAGTGGTATCCATCTTATGTGTTCATATTAACATTCCACCACCTTCATTACTACTGATTCGCTGCGGTTAAGAACACTTTGGCACTAACTCATCTTGATCTACATGCTCAGCATAGCGGATTCTTACCCTAGTCTGAACAGACGACTCATATAATTCCCACCTGGAACCTCTACTGGGAAATTTACTCAGATGCTTACTTCAAGGTCAACTATGCTAATGGTAAACGTTGGCACTAAGCAACTGCTTTTATAGAGTTGCATACCGGTTCTATAGAGTAAAACAGTACGCACTCTGTGTAATGAGAAGGCTAACACTCATGTGCTAAACTATAGCAGTCCATCAACCAAGTTCAAAGATTGAGGTGGCTTTTTGTTTCTGAAATAGGCTCATAGCAGATGATATTTCAAGCCAAAGTACTATAAACTTAGACTATGATCATTTGCTGCTGTAAGACATTGCACGGTAACCCTCTCAATAGTTTATACAAAGTTATGTGATCCTCATGAAAATTAAAACAACATGGCTAGCCACTGACCATCACCATATCTACCGATTATCACAAATCCCACTCTCCTACATAGCTCCAGCCAAAAACTGAACGTAGCTATCACTAACACCAATATCGCCTTTACTGGCCTCTGTGAGTGACTCCGCAAACTGTTATTAGCCAACTCCCGCAGGCGGAAAGGGGAGAAAAAAGAGACAGAGTTGATAGTTTCGTACAATCGGATTTGCATGGGTACATGAATATGAAGACATATTGGGAACATAAACTACACCCAACATTACTTTTGCTCTCAAGTTAATCACATACCACAACGGTAACAAGCCTCCGAAAGACAAAGATATAAACTCCCTGATATAATGCATAATCTAACAGGTATGTAAGAAAAAATAAATAAACCCGATATATGTAGTAATCACAGCCAGAAGATATCATAAGGACAGAGGGGAGAGACGTAGTTATCATCCTACCTCTCCGAATCTCCTTCTGCACCGTCCTATTCTCGGCTAGGATCGCTTTCTTGTTTCGTCTGACTAGTTTCTTTTTTTGTCCATTTTTGGTTAGTTCCATAGGTCGCCATACGTTGGGCCGCTTAATCGTCAACGTCGGTCTCGGTATTGGTATCACTGGTATCTCCTGCATCGCCGTCGGTGTCACTTTCATCCTCACTCGAATCATCTTCTGGCTTCTTGGCCTTCTTCTTGGGTGGTTGGCCGGTCTTCAAGGCCTGCATTTGACCGGCAATAGAATCTGTGGTTAATGATATATTAGCGTGGTCTCTAATTAAAGAAATACTGTCTAGTAAAGAGAAATCCTTACCTTCATCGGGCTCACTGATATCGTCCTCTTCCTCCAGCGCAGCTGCCTTAGCAGGATCATCGATGTGAAGTGTAACTTCCATCTTCGTGTCAAGACCAAGGTAGCTGTCACAGAGCAAGTGCATCACAAAGGTAAAATCTCCGACCTGGGGGGGAGCCTGGAACTGCATCTTGAGAGTTTGGACGTTGAATGTAGGTTTTCCAGCTTCATCGAACAAGGGCTTATCAAAGGTGGTGAAGGTAAATGGTGGAACGGCCATCTTGCCCTGCTTGGGATCGGCCAAGAAAACATGCCACCGAGGAGAGTGATCACGAGCCAGATATGGTGCATGGGCCAGTGGCGGTTGAATGGCTTCAACCTTGCTCTCCACCTTCTCACCGTTGGCGAGCTTCTTGGTCTTGGTAGACTTGCGACCCATGAGAGCATCGAGGTCATCCTCGTCAGGGTCAACATCCTCAAGGTCGGCTGAGTTCACTTCCGGAACGTTCGAATAGCCAGGCGGGATGAACCGTGCTTTGACAACAAGCTGGACAAGACTGCTTGGCGTGATAACCTTCTCTCCCATAACCTTGAAGAACGCCTTTGAAACTTCGAGAGCAGGAAGCTGCTTGGCAACAGAGATGGCGCTTGCGTATTGCTTCTCAGATAGAAGGCCTGCACCAACTGTGAGGCTGTGACGCTTATCTTCAGGCAGGCCCATGAACTTCTGAACGTTGAAGTGAGTTTTGGCGTCTTCGCCTTCAACAGACTTGACAATGTCATCGGTGAAGTAGGGCAATTGGAGAAGCGGAGATGATCCCGGAGCGATGGCTTGAATTAAGTTCTGAGAGACTTGGAAAGAGCTCAAAATGGGACGAAGGTTACCAAAGGCCAGAGAAATGGCTGTGAAGGATTCATTCAAAGAGAGTGCAATAGGGGCGGCCTCGTACTTTTCTGCATAGGAAGATTAATGAATTGTCGATGTATAATCCATTCTGACCAATATACAACTTACCTCCGTCGAGTGTAGCATCATTTAAGTCAATACGGCCGAGGTAAGCCCACAACAAAGCAAGCGCCTTCCGGCGAGTAGAATCATCGAGTTCCTTAAGCTTTTCACGGTCTGCAGAAGAGAGGAATGAGGAATCATCTGCCAGGACCATCTTTTCCAGTTTCGCCAGCCCAGCCTCTGCTTGTGAACCCTTAAGCATGTCCTTGAACTCAACACCAGAGGAAAGAGCACCGACGATTCCACCCCCGGTAATACCATCCTTGTATTCCCGGAAGATATTCCCTGCACTAGCCACGAGGACTCTCTCCTTCGTGTATCGCTGTGAGCCATACCACCACCGACCGACAATGTAAGGGAGGAGAACACCAAGCAAGCCGCCATAAACGAGCAAAACGTACTTCCCATTTCCCTCCGTGACAATAAACTGCGGCAAAGCAATACCAATACTGAAGCTTTGCTTGCCATCGGGATGACCGTATTGAATATAGTTGTTACGAACTTCCTCATCTGTGAGTGCTTTGTAGGCCTTGGTCAGCTCAACGAAACGCTCGTTGAGCATTTCGATAGTCTCATTCTTCGCGGGGTCTGGCCGAATCTTGTCGGGGTGATAGATAAGAGACAAGCGCTTGTAGTGTCTAGAGATCGCTTTTTCATCGGCGCTCTGATAGATGAAGCCAGTCAGTTGGTAGTCTCTCGAGTGGACTTTACATGGAAGCTCACCCTTGAGATACCGAGGATGTCATATGGATCCCAGATCTTGGGTGCTGTTCTGGCAGTGACGATAATTAAATATACCATCCAAGCCATAACTGCATATCCCAAGACAACGGTAACAATGCGCTTGATCCTGCGCTCCTTGCGTAGACGCTTACGCTTCTGCGCTTCAATGAGATCGCCATGTTCCGGTTTGTAATCCGACTTTATTCGAGGGGCGGTATTCTCAAGTTCTGCAATGATTGATTGAAATATTAAAATATGGATAATACGAAATAAGCGTGAATCAGAACAAGAGTCGGTACTGACCTTTGCTCGGCTTGAGAAGGTTATATGTTAACGGGAGTGTAACAAGGCCCGTAAGGGTTAGGATGAAGAACGGGAAAAATTGACCCTGAAGGATGGTAGTTAGCTACTTAATCGAGAAGCTTGAGGGAAAAGTTAAGTACTGACCTGTTCATCGTAGGTGTAATCTGTAGACATGGTGAAGCGGATTTACAGAAGACACGGTCGCCCGCGATGGGCAAGACTATGGGACAACGTGTGACCGTCAGATACCCAAAATGTGTGGCGGTATAAGTAACTTCCTGGACAGACAATCAATATGCGACAAATGTAGATTAGGTGGCTGTTCCCAGGAGCATGTTCCCTTCCAGGGTAGGTAAAGGAGGGTGAGTGACAAAGAGAAGGTTGTTCCGTCCGTAGTATCTCGATAATTATCGCATCCGCTGTGGTACTAACCTTCAATCTGATCGACCGTGTCCTTTACGGGGCGGTCATGGTACACACCGCCTTCCAAAGATGACTTAGCGTAAGGGTGCTGTCGTCGCCACGAAAATAAGGCTGGCAAGGCGTTTGAAGACTACGTACCCGCCAGGACTAGAGGATTTAGAACTTTAGAACTACTCTTTTCCCATTAGTGAGGACTACAGCCTACAGTGAAGATTTTGCAGCATGTTTTAGAGATACATGGCCATTATTATATACAAAGTACACCTCTCTATAAATTTTATACATGACGGATCATCACAATTCATTCATCGTGCTAGATGGCTCTATTCCTCCGGCGAACATAAATCAACTCATGAGTCATAACGAGGTTTGAGCTTGATTTCTTTCCCACGAATGAATCCAAATTCGGGTTCGGTGGAACGGACGACTGGATATGAGAGGGAACGTCTTATATCAAAAGTGTTCTCCTCT